GGTAAACGCATGCACCTGTGGGCAGCTGATTTTTGACAGTGGGTCAAAGAGATAGTTTCTTTAAGAAATGGTTCTGGCAAAATTGGATATTCATTTGCAGAAAATGAAACAGGACTCAAATCTCACACTATATACAAAAAGGAAATCAAGATGAATCGAAGTATTGAGTAAATGTAAAACCCCCAAACTGTAAGGACTATGTATTTTAAAGCAGGCACGAATGCATGGGCTGTAATACGTAAAAGTGTCAAGCATGTTTGAAAGCACAGAAACAGCGAGGACAAACTAGATGACAGGACCTCCGAAAAGTTGCGCATTTCTGGGCATCAAAAGCTTTTAACAAACGGGTCAAAAGAGAACGCACATCGTGGAAAATACATATTTGGTAATGACATACTGGACAAGAAACTGATCTTTAAAATTAAGAAAAAAACTTTCAACATATCGACAAAAAAAATCTCACAGATTATCCAATTAATAAATGGACAGAGGACATGAACAGACAATTCACCAAAGACATTCAGGCAAGCAGCCAACATATGAAGAACTACTTGAGCTCACTAGTCATGGAGAGAGGCATATTCAAAGAAGCATGAGCTTGCACCTTCATATCAGCGTGAATACAAACAAAAAAAGCAACTCACTACCATTGAGTCCATGCTCACTCACGGTGACCCTGTAGGTCAGGGTGGATCTGCTCCTGTGGGTTTCTAAGACTGTAACTCTTTAAGCAAGTAGAACACTGTCTTTCTCCAGAGGACTGGCTGGTGGTTTTGAACTGCTGACCTTGTAGCTAGCAGCCCAACACACAGTCACCACACCATCAGGGGTTTTATAGCGATGTTAAAAAAATGGAAAATAATAAATGCTGATGAAGGTGTGGACAGTAGAACCCTTTTGCACTTGCTGGTGAGGCTGTAAAATGATGAACTACTATGGAAAAAAGTATGGTGTTGCTTTAAAAAGTTGGACACAAACCACCTTGAAGAGATAAGTGGTACGGGAGTCTCAGGACCACTGGTGTAACACAGTCCACAAAGATAATGTTCTGCATCACTCGTCAGTGAGCAGCCATCTAAGGTGTAACTATTAGTCTCTCCCCATCCACAGCAAAGAATAGTGAAGAAATTAGAATGAAAGTAGCCTGGAAACAATTAGCCCAATTAACTAATGAATCACGGGAACATACACTCAAGGCCATGAAAGCAGAAAAACAGCTGGTGCTGGGCTGCCACAATGAACTGTTCTGAAAAGGATTCCCTTAAAGGATCCTGGATAGATATGGAGAAGAGTGTGAAACAAAACTTGAAATCCTAAACGATAGATACTGATTCTATGGCCCGAAGGCCCCTTCAAGTCTGGAACTGCTGTTAGATTTGCAGAAGGCCCGCTGCTAACATTCCAGTCAACAATAGACAGGTCTATAAGGGAAACGGTAACACCAGAGGGACAAGCACATCTTGGAATAAGGAAACATAATCATTTATTGAAGGTCAAAGTTAAGAAGGGTTAGAGAAGGAGGACACAGAGAGAGGAAGAGCTGGATATGATGTCACCATGTGAGCATTGCAATCAATGACATGAAACAACATGTGGATGGATTGTTGAATGAAAATGGATCTGATCTGTAATCCACCCAATTCAAGAGAAAAAGAAGAAAAAAACAAATTCAAGATATATCAAAATAACTAAATGTAAAACTTAAACTATAATGGTAATCAAAGAAATAATACAAACAGACTTGTGGGCCCAAGTAGATGGCCTACATCACTATGAAATGTAAGCTAAAACACACAAGCAGCAGACGATATGGCTGTGATCATCTAAAATTAAATATTTATATGCATTAAAAGACTTGAATGGAGTGTAATAAGACCTGTAAGAGCCCCCAATAAAATGATTAAAAAAGAAGAAGAAATTAAAAAGACCAACAACAAAAAAAAAAAGACCTTCAAAAGAGCGAAAAAAGAATCAACAGACTGGGGGCAGGCAGGGGGTAGGGTGGGGGGATTTAGCAATGCTATGTTCAACAAGGGCCTAATTCCCCAAATTTAGAGGTAACTTCACATCAACCACAAAAACACAAACAAAATCTAATGAACAAATGGCCAGCGGACAAAACAGACACTTCACCAAAGGATACATTCAGGTAGATAACCCACACAAGACAAAATGCTCAGAATCATTGGTCATTAGAGATATGCAAAATCGTGAGGGATCATCTCACCCCAGCAAACAGAGGAAACTCAACATGACAGACAGCAACAAATGCCAATGCAGGTAGGGAAAGACTGGAACTCATACACTGCTGGTGGGAATGAAAATGGCGAAATTACTGTGAAAAACAATAAGGTGCTTTCATTTTTTTAAAAAGTTGCTAATAGAATACAATTTCATTCAGCAATCTTCCTATTAGTCATCTCCTAAGGAAAGAATGTCCAGGACATGAGCACAGATCAGTACACTCCTCTTTGTTGCCGCATGATGCACAATCTCAAAGAGAGCGAAACAACCTAAGTGCCTGTCATTGGGTGACTGGCTAAACGAACTACGGTATAAAACAAACATGGAATACTATACAACCATACTCTACTAAAAATAACCAGAGTAATGTGATTACATGAAGACTAATTCAGCATCAGGATTGGAGGAAGGGTTATGAACAACCTGCAATGTGCACATGCCACCACCTTGGTGCTGACAGCGAGGAGGACCTGCAGCCCTTGCTGAGGAAGATCGAGGATTGCAGCCTTCAGGATGGATGACAGCTCAATGTAAAGAACCCCAAATCCTCACACTGGACCAACAGGTGACGTCATGATAAACAGAGAAAACATTGAAGTTGTCGAGGATTTTGTCTTGCTTGGATCCACAAGCAATGTTCAGGGAAGCAGCAGTCAGGAGATCAAATGATGCCCTGCATTGGGTAAATCTGCCGCACAAGACTTTTTCAGAGGGTTGAAAAGCAAGGATTTTGCTTTAAGGACTAAGGTGTGCCTGACCTAAGTACTTTTCAATTGTCTCATATGCATGTGAAAGTTGGACATTGAATAAGGAAGACCACAGAAGAATAAGAGCATTGTAATTATGGTGTTGGTGAAGAATATTGAACGTACCATGGACTGTCAAAAAACCAAAAATCTCTCTAAAGTATGGCCAGAACGCCCCTTAGACAAAGATGGCAAGATTCCGTTTCACGTACTTGTGCATGCTGCCAGGAGGGAGCAGTCCCTGCAGAAGGACGTAATGCTTGCTAAGGAAGAGCGGCATCAAAAAGAGAGAGGCCCTCACGGAGGTGGATTGACATGGTGGCCGTAACAATGGGCTCAAACATAGGAACAATTATAAGGCTGGCACAGGACTGGGTAGTGTTTTGTTCTCTTGTGCATAGGGTTGCTATGGTCAGAACTGACTAGAAGGCACCTAACAACAGTATCTGATACTATATGTGGGAAATACAGAGAAACAAATCCACAGAAACTCATGTATAAGAGAGAGTTTTATATAAAGGTTAAGTGCACATCAAGAAAATATCCCAACCCAGTGCTGCCCGAGCCCACAAGTCAACATTAACCCATATGTCCCACACCAATCACAAAGTTCTCCTCCACCTGACAAACACATGCAATGATGCTGACTGCAGGAGGAAGGCCCAATCAGTGAATGTGTAAGCATCTCAGTGCTGGCAGGGGTCTCCCCATGGCTGCTCTAGCACCCATGGCTGCATCGGGGTAGGTCCATGTGGCTTCTCCTCAGGGATGTCTTGCAGGAAGTGAGCCTTGCCAGCTGAAGCAGGGACTGGCTAAGGCAGCTGCACCCTGGTCTGGCCATCAGAAAGCAAGAGACCCAAGAACTAGAAAGGCGAGGTTCACTGAGCCATTTATCTCTCTGCCCTTCAATTAACCTCATATGTGTTTATTGGCCAGGTTGGCACAATAAACTAACTCACTACATAACAAAGAATCCATAAACCACTTCAACACAGTTGTTTGCTCTCATGAAAACCCTACGGAGTAGTTAGTTCTACACTATTCTTAGAGCACTATGAGTGAGAAAAAGCTCAATGGCAGGGATTTTTTTTTAGGTTTGGTAAATATATATACATATATAAAACAGAGCAAACAGGGGGCAAGAGTATGCAAACAGGCACAATTGGCCAGGGGACTTGGGACCATCAAGGTCAATTGGCATAACAGTCCACAAAGACAATGTTCCGCATCTACTTCTATGGGTTGTGACTGAGGTGGTAGAAGTTTGTGAGTGGCCATCTCAGGTGCAAGTATTAGTCTCTCGTGGCCTGGAGCAAGGTAGAGTTAGGAAAATTGAAGATGCAGGAAACAATTAGTTCTATGGACTAATGGGCCACTTGACTGTCAGTCTCCACAACCCTGAAACAAGAAGAATGTGATGCTGTCAGGCTACCACAACCAACTCTTCTGAAAAGGATAATAGTAGGTCCTAGATAAAGTGGGAGGCAAATGTGTTAACAAAATTCAAAATCCGAAAAAAACCCACCAGGCTCAGAGGTCTGATAGGGCCTGATGACTCTTAGTCACTTTTTAGCCTTGAAGAAAACGTATCCCCATGGCTCAACTGCCAGCTAAACTATACACAGGTCTACACTCTGAGCAGCAGTATCAGGGAACAATCAACCGCATGACAAACACCCCAAAAGGTAGCCTTTGCCTCGGGATAAAGCTCAGAAGGCAGCCATGGATAGGCAAGAAGGGTGAATAGAAAGAGTAAACATAGGAAGGACTAGAGAAGACTGCTTATTCTATGGATTTGGAACTTTTTAGCCCTTGTAATTGCATGCTTCAATTCCCTAAAATACATCTCTCTATATGATTTATTGGTTTTGATTTGCTAGAAAGTCCTAACTACTACAATATATAAAAGTGACAGACGAAAACTGCATAATGTAGTTGTTGAAACTCTCATGCCACACACTTAGCTGGTCAGCATCAAACAGTGGTCCAGGCAGGCAACATTCTACTTACCAATGAGGTACATGCCAATCCAGTCTCCAGCATCCACTTCCTCCTTTATGTCCCAGTGGATCACCAGATCCTGGGAGTGCCCTATGGAGTAGTAGGAGCTGCTGACCATGAGGGTAGAGCGGCTGTCTGAGGTGACCAGGTCAGTGTCACTGGTGGAGCGGGGGATGGTGACGGGGTCATGGGGACCATTCCTGATGTCCATGTTGTGAAACTGATCGGGGTTGTAGCTGTAGCGGAGTGGCTCCTTGCACCGGCGCCGGCTCTGCGAATTCCTAGATGGAGAAGCCATGGCAGCCAGGCCCAAAAACCTATTCTGGTAGAGATTCTGGGGAGGCAAGCAGACGAACAGCAGATCAGGAGACAGCAATCAGGAAACGTTTGCTAGAAAAAAACAGCCATTAGTGAGTTTCCCTCCAGACAAATTTGAAACATGGCAATGAACATCCTTCTCATGACAAAATCTAAAGGGGGGGGGTTCTCACAGGGCAGATAAGAACAGGAATATGGTATCACCAAGGGGTCATTTACTTTCATATTTTCAGCGGTCTCTGCCTTTCCCAGCTCCCTCTAGCCTCCCTGAGATTAGAAGGGCTGAACTAAATATAGATTATACCTGAAGATGTGAGTAACCCCCAACAAAGTGCCATCACTTGAGTTTCCCCAAAATGTATTCAACTGGATACATTTGGATCCTCCTTGAGGGTAAATGACAGTGATTCACAGTGAATATTTTAGCCCACCCTGCAGTATTCAAGTTCGTACGCACACCCCAGAATGAGAGGTGGTCCCTGCTGGGTGAAGGGCCATTCCCCTCTGTTTAGAACCCTTCCGCGTACAGAATGTCTCCGGGTAATCTGAAATTTCTACTAACCATTCCAACACCCTAGTAATCTTTCTTGAGCACTACAATTTTCAATAAAATGCAACCTCAAAGGACTATTTCTGCCTTAGAGCTAATAGTATTGCAGCAAACACGGCCCTTTATGAGGAAAAAAATGCATGCTGACCACACAGCACACTGAGAATGAGCTGAGCGGATGCAGAGGAGTAAGTTAATTGCTTTAGGTAGAGATTACCTTTAAAGTATGGGAGCAAGAGCATACGGGGACTTGTTCTCACACAAGAAAGATGATTCTGTCATCATCACAGTATCCCCATAACGCCTGAATTTTTAATTTCAGGAAAAAAATTTTGTTTTTATTCTTTACTTTCATAGTTATCAATATATATTAATATATACATTTAATTAAATGTTATGAAAATGTCACACTCGGCGTTATAAGGGTATACTAAAATTGGGATTTTTAATGTACATTTTAGGCTTCCTGGCTAAAACTGTTCTATAACAAAGAACACTGGGTTTCCAGAAGAGAAAATGAAAGCTAAAAAAGTATTTAGTTATGCAATTAAGATCCCAGGGATACAGACACCAAGCAATGTAAGCCATTGACTTTCTGTTCAGCAGCCAGGTGGACCAGACCACAGCAGCCGCTTACTGGTCAAATTAGGTCAGTCTATTTAGCCATAACTTAGGCGTGATCTTTTCTATCTGCCACGACCATGGCCCTGATAAAGAGTTCATTATGCTGATAAAGCGTGGTGCTGGCATTCTGAGTCTCGGTCCTTCCTGATCATGTGGCAGATACTTTCATTCATTATTTGTATCCCGTGATAGGGATTCTTCTAGCTCTGCTGGCAGTAACCATGGCATTACTATGCACAGAAAAGCCACATTTCAAAAAGCATCGCATCACACTGTTGTTGCTGTATGTCCTATTTTTGTGGGGGGGAAAAATCTGTGTCGCTACAACAGTATGAGAATAGACAGTCCGTGGGTTGCCTGGAAACCAGGGCGAGCCTGCCCCTCTTGCAGTGATTGTGGGTGGGCGAGGGAGGATCTCAAGGAACTACCTATCCTGGAGGGAGCTAAGATGGATTGAGTTGCAGCCCCCTGCACCCCAAATACAGGTTAGAATCCCAGTCCACATACCGGTGGGTATGACCCTGTTTGGAAAGAAAGCCCTTTTGTTAATGCTAATTATATGATGGCCAAGTGTGGTGGCTTCTAAATCTAATCACTTCTGGATTCTAAGAAGGAGCTAATGAGATACATGAGAGAAAGACAGTTACTTTGGGAGGATTGTGTACACGCGACAGAACCAAGGATCTTCCGGAACTACCTACAAGGCAGGACTCAACAGTGCTGAGACTAATGTGAACGTCTAGCCTATAGAAGTGTGAGAAAGTATTTGCTGTTAACCAAGGTCAGCAGTTTGCAATCACCAGTCGCTCCTTAGGAGGAAGGCGAACTTTCTACTTCCATTGAGTTCCAGGCTCAGAAACCAACAGCAGTTTCTACCCTGCCTTGTGGGGTCACTATGAGTCATCATTGGCTTGAGGGTTTTTGAGAGGTGATATTTCTGTGACAGGCGAGCTAGAGGGCTATGACAGGGGCTGGGTGCTGCCATCTTTACAAAACTCTGAAATAAGAAAAGGCTGCTGCTAGAGGACAAACTCACTTCTTTCGCTGTTCCCTTGATGTGGCCCAACACCACCAGACAGTTGTCGTATGAGGGGTCAAATCTACATGGAATTAAGTGGAATAATTATGCACATAATTAGCTGTTCTTGCTTTGGAGTTAGACCAAAGCAGGGTTCAGACCATAGCAGCACTTACCAATTTCTTAGCTGTTATTCCTGGATGATTGATTTAATCTTTCTGAACTTAAGTTTCCATCTCTGTGAAATGGGCTTCTCAAGGAGATAATACAAGCCAAGGTCTTAGGAAGTGTAGTATAAGTTAAAATCCCAATGACTGTTGGCGCTTAGTGGAAATGCCACACTGGAACGGATACCGTTGAGACAGCCAGGATCATTCCCTGACCAAATGTCTGCTCGTGGCCTCCCTAGTGCCCACACACTTGCATTTCATTTTAAAATGAACCTCCATGTTGCTCTAGTCATTTAGCATGGGATTTCCTTACAAAATCTAGAAAGTGTCCCACAGCCTGATGTACTTGTCAAGCATTCCTATACACCAATTTTCAGGTAGAGAGGAGTCTCCCTTGATTTGTAAGCTTTTGGCTTCAGTAGGATATTTTTGCTTTTGTGGTGAGAAGGCTAAGAGACAGACTTTTATCCATGTGGTTTTAATCAGAGCGACACAAAGATTACAGCATGTTTCTCCTTTGTGGAAGAGAGAAATTCCACTATGGTAAACTGTCAAATTATAACAGCCATCACCGTCCACGTGGCGAGAACAAACACACTGAGAGAAGCAGCCAAGGAGCACGTTGGCTGGTAATTTACTAGGTCGGAAAAGAACTGTTGGCCTGGAATGCGAAGCCCAGTCCAGCTTCGGAGCTGTTTCCTGAAGACCCCACTTTTTCCGCCCGCCAGGTCTTGGCACCTTCCTCCCCGCTGATACGTGCACTGCAACACCGACTCTTCTAGAACCTCTCATTCCCCACCCCCAACACCGGCTCATCCAGCTGCTTCATCCCATCGGAAACCCATACCCTGCAGAGTTCCGTATTGGAGCGCTTCTAGAAGACAGATCTACGCAAACCCTTCAAACCTGAAGGCCAAAGGCCCTGTTTTCTCCCTTTTATATCTACCCTCTGTGTTTTTCACAGTTCTCGGCCTATCAAAGACCTTAAAACTTTAATTAATAGAACTTGCTTTATTTCTGAAAGGGTTTAAGGTGGGGTTATGAAAATAGAAACAATACAGAAAAATAGAATCGTTTCATAAGAGAGAGAGAAACCCATAAAAAGGGAAGGTAAGAGATAGGTCAGAGAGACTAGTGCAATCGCACCCCTCTTGTCCTGAACAAGTGTATCATTAAAGGACTCACCCCCGATGCTTCTTAATACAGCACACACCTACACAGAGAGGGGCTGTTCAATAGCCCAGTCCTTCAGGGCCTGTGGCTTTTTTGTTTTGTTTTTTTTCAGGCATTCACAAGCGTCCTTTGCTTACACTACAGTCACTGGACTAGAAGGAGCAACCTAATCACTCTCCCTTTACATCTGAACTGGGAGAGAGGGAAAGGGCTCTCCGTTGTTTTCATAGTGTCCTGAGTCAAAGACCACTTTGCCCCTAGACAGCAAATCCCATCTTTTATGAGGCTGACTTTCTTCTAAGCTCTCAGGCAAATCCCACCTGGCAGGAGACCTCCTATCTCTTTCCTATCTGCAAAGTGATAGTAGGACTTTCTACATTATTTGTCTTTTCTTCCTGTTTATTGATTGATTGATTGATGTCTTCTTTTAATTTTTTAGTAAATCATTTTCTTGGGGGCTCTTACAGGTCTTATAACAATCCATCTATTAATTGTATCAAGCACATTTGTACATAGGTTGCCATCATTATTTCCAAAGCATTTTCTTTCTACTTAAGCCCTTGATATTTCAACTCCTCTTTTCCCCACTCCTCTCTGATCTTCCCACCCTCGTGAACCCTTGATAATTTATAAATTATTTTTTATTTTCATATTTTACCATGTCTGCTGTCTCCCTTCACCCATGTTTCCATTGTTCGCCCCCCCTGAGGGTTGGGGGGATGGGGTAGTACATCGATCATGCCAATTGGTTCCCCCTTTCTCCCTCTTCTCTCCCCACCTTCCCCTACACTCATGGTATCATTACTCTCATTATTGGTCCTGAGGGGTTTATCTATCCTGGATTCTGTGTGTGGAGAAATCTTATCTGTACCAGTGTACATGGATTTTTAAGAGAATGAGGGTCATGATAGTGGGTGGGGAGGAACTAGAGCAGTGGTTCTCAACCTTCCTAATGCCACGACCCATTAATACAGTTACTCATGTTGTGGTGACTTCCCAACTATAAAATGGTTGTTCCACCCCCAACAGGGTCGTGACCCACAAGTTGAGAACCGCTGAATTAGAGGAATGTGTGTATTGTTGGTGCTATACTGCACTCTGGCTGGCTCATCCGTTCCTTGTGACCCTTCTGTGAGGGGATGTCCAATTATCTACAGATGGGCTTTGGTTCTCCAATCCAATCCCCCTTGTTTGCATCAAAATGGTTGTTTGCTTCGGGTCTTTCTGATGCCTCATACCTGATCCAGTTGACACCTTGTGATCACACAGGTTGATGTGCTTCATCCCAGTGGGCTTTGTTGCTTCCCTGTTAGATGGCCACTTGTTTAACTTCAAGCCTTTAAGACCGCAAATACAATATCTTGTAATAGCTGGGCACCATCAGCTCTCTTCCCCCACCTCATCCTCTTCTCTGTACCCCCCTGCCACCGGAACCATTGGTCATATTGTTTTTCTCCTTGGTATAGTTTATCCTGCCTAGC